CTCCGCAGAGGCCTAGAGGTTTTAGGTTTTAGAGCTGTGGCCAAGCCTTCCTTTCGTGGGTGTACAATAGGAAGGAAAAATAGAAAGATCTCAGGATCAACCAGATAATCTCTTGAGACTGCTTCCTCTGTCTTCAGATTTTATTTTAATCATAGTTAACCTATAGTTCTATACCTAGTTAACATGAGGCTTTACTGGAAACATGTCAATAGGGCCAAGCTCTTTATATTCGTTATTCTTTAGCATTCCCTTTCTTCTGATAACCCCCACCCCGCCCATGGGCCCTGGAGAAAGATCTGTTTTGCCGACTTCTATGGGGATAGCACGGGGGTTCTTCTAAAGTCTCAGTATGGTTTCACCTCCCAGTTCCCTGAGTCTCCAGAATCAAGAGTAACACCAGAGAGTGCCTCGCCCACTTCCCTGTCCTTTCTGTCTGTGCCCTTCAGGTTTTTCACACCTTAGTCACTGCATTAGGTGCTAAACTCTCCAAATGCTGGCCCGTCCAGTAGATTCCTCAGCACAGTACTGCCCAGCAGCACCTGGTGCTCATCAGTGCATTGTGGACCCTTTAACACGGCTCTAATTCTGCAAGGTCTCATCCTCCACTATTGTGCAGACCCAGCTCCTCAGTCCCTTTAGTTAATGCTTTGCAAGCTGAATTACTTGCCATTTCTAGAAGGTTCCGTGACTCTGTCTGCATCTCCTTCTTCCACTGTCCCATATCCTTTCATTTTGTGTTCCCTGGGATTTATTGTAAGTTTAGAAATTGTCTTTGCCTGACAAGAGTTTGCTTTAATGAATTGTGATTAACAAATGGAATTCAGGAATCTGCCTGAAATAATAGACCAGTTAACTTGAACTGGAAATTTTTATTCTAAGGTGCTTTTTTTTTTTTTTTTTTTTTTTTTTTTTTTTTTTTTTTAGTTTTTCGAGACAGGGTTTCTCTGTAGCTTTGGAGCCTGTCCTGGCACTAGCTCTTGTAGACCAGGCTGGCCTAGAACTCACAGAGATCCGCCTGCCTCTGCCTCCCGAGAGCTGGGATTAAAGGTGTGCGCCACCACCGCCTAGCCTAGGTGACTTTTTTTTAAAAAGAAAATTATCTGAAGGTGGAATCATGGGAACAGCACCTGTCTTATTCATACTTTAATGACTGGAAAACCATTTATTAAATTCTTTTTGTCTTTTAGTATTGAGAACTACAGTTTACCTATAGTGAGAGAGTGACTGAACATGGTGATTGTGAAACCCAATCGAACAAACCTAGGGTTTTGAAAGAATGATTAAGAAGGAGCAAAGCAAACTGAATTCAAATGTTCTGATTTGTCTAAGTCTTGCCCATCTTCACCTCAGTGTCCCTCTGTATTTTCAAGACCCAAAGCTCTCCTCATCCCGAAACTTGCCTCTTACCAGCGAGGTTCAGTCTGTGGGAACCCTGTAGCACCTCCATCTTTCTCCCGCTTGCCCTCACCCCCACACACTGTAGCACCTCCATCTTTCTCCCGCTTGCCCTCACCCCCACACACACAGACGCGCACCACACTGGTTTGTACCCCTTTCGTCCCAGGAAGAGTGGTCAAGGTGCCTAAGGAACTATCCCTGACTCCAGGGCTCTCCCAGTCTAGTGCAGGAGAGAAGCTATTGCACACTTGGCATGCTACACTTTTTATCATTACACTGTCTCTATTCCATTTAAAATATAGCGAAGTCCTGTAGTAGACCAAGGGCCCTCTACCCTGAAATTCAAGAGTATCCTTCAGGGCAGGGAATTTCTGAGTACTGGGCCTTGGTAGGTAGGGTGTGGAAAGGGGGGAACCCAAGGTATGATAAGAGATGGGGAGTTGCATCTGAGATACATGAGGAGGAGGAGAAAGTAGAGGAGATGGGACTACAAGAGTACACAAAGGACAGAATGAGTTTTAAAACAAGACAAGGAATTAGGGCTTTATCCAAAATTTGAAAGAGAGGCAACTGATGTGTTGTAAACAGCAAGTAATCTTGAGGCGTGTGTTAAAGGAAACTGTTGGTTATAGCTCTTTGTTAGGCCATTTGCTTAGCATGCGCTAGGCGCTAGGTTCAGTCTCCTGCATTGCAAAGAAACAAGCCAACAGCTAACTAGCAGCCAAACTAACTAGCTGATTAACTCGTTACTTAATCACTCATTCCACTCATGACTTAAACAGCTAGCAAACTAACTAACTTTGGTTCTATAATTAAGGATGGCCTGAGGGAAGGATTGAACTTGGAAATAAGCATTAGGGTATATCGATAGGTCTGGATATACTAAATTTCCTTTAAGATACTTTACACGGTATTCTTTAAAACTTGGAGATGGCCGAGTCTATATGTGCCATGTTAATAAAACTTTTTGAGTTACACCTCAATGGATTCTGACGGGAAGATCCAAGAGGGTTTTCTGGCAAAAACCTCCTGAAACACCAAAGAATTCCGGAAGCTATACTTAGAGCATGAATTCCTGGTAGACCCAAGTCTTCAGCTTCTTAGAGGCTGAGAGAGAGGATTAGCAAGCTTGTAAACACATAGCAATGCATATTTGAAGTCATGATCATCATAGGCCTTTCTTAGGTTCTGGCATGAGCTTCTATTTTATATGCTGTGGCAACCTCACATATGGCCTCACTCAGTATCTTCAGTGAGGGGTGAATGGTGTCAGGTCTGTTTTATAGCTATCCTCAGGTCCCAGCGACCTACTGATAACATTAGCCCATAGAGTGGAGAATGTTAGGTCTGTTCATGAGCGTCATCCCACCCACCCAGTCCCACTCCGGAAGAATCTGGCTTTTGCAGTTACCTCTCCCTGGAATATTTTCCTGCCAAGTTATTCACAAAGTTGACCTTTTTAAGTCTTACATGTCATCTCCCTCAGAAAACTTTTCATGATCATGTTATGTCCTCTTATAAACGTTTGTCTGCTATTTTTTTTTCCTGTTTGTTGGGGCACTAAGGATCAGACCCAGGAATCCATGCATGCTAAGCTGCAACTAACCTATTTTCCCAGCCCAGTTTACTGCCTTTAAAGTTTATTGCCACCTGCAATTGTGCATTTATTATTTTTATCCCTCAATCTAAGATATTAATTTCATAAGATTCAATACTTTTGTCTTAGATAGTCATGGCCCTTGAAAGCAATTTCTGAAAAGCTGATTTTCGTGTGCAATCAACAGATAATTACTCGGGGCCTAGGAGGATGAATGAGTGAATAAATGTCTCCAGAACCCCGCCTGTTTCTGGCCCCATCCCATCTTCATATTTTCTTTTCGCTGCCTGGTACACAGAAATACAAACCACTGAACCATGTATCTGGGGTCGAAGTTGACTAACTCTTTCAAACCAAGCACTTACTCGGGGTGGAAAAACCCCAGATCTTTCTTTCTTGGTGACAGAGATTTTTTGATTCATGCTCCAAGCTCAGATACAGTACTCAGGGTGCATTGATTTTTTTTTAAGCACTCTTTCCTTTAAAATCTATCTTTAAATATGTGCCTTTTCTTCATTCATATCAGCTAATTTTTAAAGCATGTTGCTGGACTTTATATAAAAGAGCCATTGTTCCTGGCTTTTTCTATTTGCCTGTTTTTAAAACATCAGCCATTTAGATCGTCCATCTGACCAATTAGTGAATCTCTATTATATCCACAAACAATACACCAGTTCTGAGACACTAAGTTCTTTCATTCTTTTCCCAAATCACATTTTTTTTTTTTTGATGGCGGGGTTCACACTGACTTTCCGGGTACCTTGGTAGAATCTTGTCGGTAATCTTCTAATTGCCCCCGCCTTCCATCCACAAGTCTAGAAATAACTTGTGAATGAGGGTCTAAGTTAGAGAAAGTGGGCACAAAGCGGTTTTAAGTATTCCTCTTGGTGTTCTGGGTAGGGATGTGCCTTAGTCTCAGGTAACTAATTTTATTGAAATGTTTGAATGCATACATATGAGTCTAAATGATAGGAGGAAAAAAAAAATTCAGAAGCAACCTACCCTTCACCCCGTTCTCTGCATTCTCCAGGGAAGCCTGGTGTAATGGAAGGAACGAATGACTTAGAGAGCAGAACTTTAAGGCATCCCAAGCATCACTGGTTGGTTTAATAAAATTAATTAGCCTGCCACAGAGAAAATTTACTAGCACACTGGTTAATTTCACAATGTAAAGTCAGGAAAGAGAGGTAGCACTGAGGGGACAAACCTTATTAGTTTTGAATAATTATTTAAAGATGTGGGCCCTGCCAATTTCAAACACTTTGATAGCCAATTCCTTTAGAGCTTTTAAAAATCTGTTGCATGTGTATCCTAGCATGTATGGGAAGGAACCTCCACAGATGAAATCATAAGCAAAATTACTCATTTAAGATACAGACCGAAGGCAGAATCCTAATTTTAAAAAAATGGGAATAAAAACTTACCTTGATACTGGCTCATGGGAGGTTTCTATGATCTTAATTTGCTATTGATGCAATGATTATTCTTTCTTGTCTTTTTAATCCAAACAAGATGTTTGCGGCGGTCACAGAAAGGTGCCTGGAATCATATGCCTGAATTCATTTAATTTGCGAACATTGTCCTTTTTTCTTCTTTTTCCCTTCCTGGTAATGGGCAAGAGTCAATTCTTCTACATTAAGTGCTAAATCTCTTCAATTACCAGCCGGGAAGAAAGATTTAAAATTGTGCTTCCAACCTCCAAACTGATTTAGTTTAAAAGCTCAAACCCTTCTCCTGTGGAGCCTAAATTAAACGACAGAAAAGGACTCAAAGCCTGAAGAATTAAATAACGCAGGGCTAACACTCAGGCCGACCATAGGGACAATTTTGGGTTTGCTTTCAAATGAACCCCCGTGGAATGAAAGGAAGGGGAACAGAAACAAGCTGCCAGGCAGAACCTATGTAAGAAGTGCAGGCCGATATTGTGGGAAAGCTGGGTCTGGGATGAACATTGGTGTGGGGATCAAGTCAAAACCTTACTCCTTTTTCTCTTTTCTTTCGACAGCCATATTTAACGTGGATGACTCTGTGGTTGACCTAGAGACCCTGGCAGCCTTGTATGAAAATGTGAGTGTCAAACGCATACAGAATGGAGTTTTTGTCTTCTTTCTACCCTAAACATCACCGAGCCATAGGTGTTCTTTGGTAGTCAGGATCTGAACCCCACAGACACAGCGATGCAGGTTTGCACGTGGAGGATCATGTTCTTAACTCCCACTGTTAGTATCTGTCCTAGGACAGTGTCACTGTCACCAACAAAACAGAGACCTCCGCTGTGCCTTAGAGCCCAGCCCTACTGCTTGCTGACAGAGTGAACAAAAATGAGCCTCCTACTGATGCTGGCACACCCCAGTATCTTCTTCTGAGGAATAGGAACCCGAATAGCCACTTGGCTATTCTCAATCCGGATGAGCTGATGACATTAAATGCAGGGGGCAGCATTGGACGGCAATTGTGTGTTCTAGCTTTAGTGTCAAGCGTTCTAAGCTTGGGGCCCAGCTCTCTATTGCCTACTAGATGATCTTGGCTGGGCCAATCATTTAAACAGCTTAGTCCTGTTTTATTCTGTTTCTGTAGTACAATCCAGATTAGTGTGGGACTCTACCTGACTTTTTTCTATTGAGTAAGAATTTGATCAAGCAACCTGTGATGGAGCCCAGAGCACATCCCAGAAAGCCAAGTCACACAGTTTGGGAACGCTGTGAACCATGTGTAAGAAACGTCACTGCAGTGCACAAAATCTTTGGGAATAGTGAGCGGGATCCACAGGCCCTTGTGAGGTGATGATACTGGAGAATCATGGTTGTCATCTGATCTGTTCATTGACTGTCAGGGTGCAGAAGTATGGGTGGAACTGGATTCTCTAAGCCATGGCAATTCTCACATAACTGCATGGGCTCTGTGACATGCTGTGGTCACTCAGCTCACAGGAGTTAAACATGTACGTCCATGGGGACCTTAAATTTCCATAGTCTAGTATAGCCCAAAGAGCTCACCAGTTTCCTACATATTCTCACATTCTTCATGTATGTAAGAAATTATTTAGTACTGAGTGGGAGGTTTTTTGCATCTTCCTATCCACATAGTACTCATGGATAAACCCAGAGGCTTACAAGTATCCGACCATTGGAAGTTAGTGGTGCATTTATTGAGTGCCTGGAAGGCAGTGTGAGGATTCCGAATCCAAAACTCATTACTAGCATATTAGTGCAAACCTTAGGGAGTTTTCCTCTGAAAAATGAGGATATGGCAATTGATGGCATAGAACTCTACCAAGCAAGGTGCCTTCCTGATGCTTTCTGTTGTTACCATGGTTTCAAGAGTATGCATATGGCCAGTAGAGGAAGTCTGTATACAACTAGAAATATTGGGTAAATTATAAAGCATGCTACTAAATGCCCAAATAAGTAGTGTAAACAACACATACTTATTAAAATCAGAAAGAGTGAAAGTGGCAACTACTAATAATAGCGTGGGAAGCCCATATAAGGACTATAGTTCTGGGGAAGAGACAGCTAAGCTTGGCCCGCAACTGCCTGCAGGAGACTCAAGCTCTCAAATCTCTCGACCTGTGTGTCTGCATGTGTTCGCTTGTCACGACAGTTTACTTTAGCTAGTAACTGCCAAACTTGAACGTGTATCAGGATGACCTGGAAGGGGTTTCCAGGCCCAACCTGTGTAGTTTCTTAGGCTTGAGGTGAGGACCAAGTGGTGCCAGCGCTTCAGGGTGTGGGCTCACAAGTCTGTGGTCTTAGGCTGATTCACTTGACTGTGTGTGTTGTTTTTGCTTCTTTTCTCCTCCCAATGCAGCGAGCCCAAGAAGATGAACTGACTAGAATAAGAAAGTACTATGAAACCTCCAAAGAAGAAGACTTGAAGTTGCTGGACAAACCTGAACAGTAAGGAGCCTTGAATTACCTTTGCTTAATCTGAAAGGGGATCTACGAACTCCAACTGTCTGCCTATCAACTATGAATGTCAAGTCTAAATGGTACAGAGAGCTGAGTTACAACAGCATCCTTCTGTGCCCTATTGCATCCAGCAGGATGACTTGGCTGCCGGGAAGGCTGCTGAGATCCGTGCTGTCGGATGCAGGGTGCCTCTCCCCCTGCTGTCACCCCACACCACTCCCATTTCTTTCTCGAACAACTTAATTCCTCCTAGACTAAACATTTTAGCCAGAAGGGTAACTGAGGAAGGAAGAAGGCATTACTATTCTGCCTCAAGATTTGCTCATGTGTTAAAAACGATGACAGCAGAGTCATGGACTGAATTCAAACTGGTTTTCTTAAATGTCATGCTCGGTAAATGTAGCCTGAATGTGACAGGTTTCCCACAAACATCTCCTCCTCCTGTGTGGATCTCTCTTCTTTCCATTAATTCTCTCCAGTGGCTAGCTCTGGTTTGCAGTATCATCTCCCATGCTTTGAGAACTCGGACCTCTGCTGCATAGCTTGAGTGGCTTCCTGTTGGCTAGACCCTTGAGGTCTGCAAGCCCCAGATGAGTTCCCGAGAGTCCCCCACAAGATATTAGGGACTAAGACTGCCATTGTGCCCCTGGTTTGGGGCTCTTGTGCCTGTTGCTACTGTGCCTGCTTCCTGTTCCATTCAAGGCAACCTCTGCAGCCAGCGAGAGGCAGCTGCAGAAAGCAAAGAGAAAACAAATGAGATGGAGTGTAGCAGGCTACCCCTACAGGCACCTGAGGTTCTGTCTTATACTCTGTGCCCTGTCTGAATGCCGCAGTTCTCATAGACAGACCCAGAAGGAAACCTCTCTGAATGACTGGCAAGGTAGTTTGTTAGAGATCCTAGGTTTACCCCAAATACTGTCAAACCTTGCCGATAACTTCTGAACCTTAGATGAAATCCTCTCACATGGCCTTTAAAGTCGATCCGTAAAGCCTTGGAATATGTGTAGATCAATTCCAGTGGGATTCCACTGCCCTTTCATCTCATTAACATCAGCCGTCGGGCTCACCCCCTCCACCACTTCTGATGCTGCTCACCTAGAAGTCAGATTCACTGACTGTGAATTCACTCTGTTACGTCGCTAATGGTCACAGGAAACGTGACTAGCGATGAGATATGTAGACACTGGCATGGCCACTGCTGGTACTTGGAGATGGTAGGTAGGGCACAACAAGCATTTAGACAGGGTGACTATGCCCAATTATGGGATGAAATGGTTACGTCTGGAGTTGGCAAACTTCCTGTAAAAGACTAGTATTAAAAATATATATATATATAAAGATATATATATAAAGATATATATATATATAAAGATATATAAGATATTTTATACTTTGTGGGTGAAAGGATCTCTCATGAGTCCTCAAGTCAGCCACTGCACTGTCATGGTTCCAAAGCAACCATGGATAAGGCTACATAAGCAAAGGGGCACAGCTGGACGTCAACTTTATATAGAATTGCCAAGATTTTAATTTCATGTCATTTTACATGAAAAAAAAGCCTTCTATACTTTGTGATATCATTTAAAGTATGAAAGCCATTCTTCGTTTCACGAGTCACATAAATAGAAATGGCTGTCTGGGTTTGGTCCATTAGCTCTAATTTGTCCATACTCAACCCACTCAGAAAAGCCTGCCGTCGACCGAGAGGATGGGGTACAATGAAGCACTGATGTGAGATAAACTGTGTCTGCCAGGAGAGGCATCCCTCTGCCTTTTGTGGTACAGCCTCCCAGCATCATTTCTCAGCACTAATTGCCAGGGTCCAGAATAATGGTAGCAACTCATTAGCACAGGGCTTTTTTTCTCCCAGCTTCACCCGTGATCTAGCTAGATAAGCATTTTCAAAGTTTGGGGGGGGGGCATTGTGCTGACTCCTGATCACTCACCACTATTGCCAGAGGCAGAGTTGCCTGTCATGTGCGGCTGCTCAGGCCGAGGGACTGGCATGGAGACATAGAGAGGTTCCCGGACCCAAGCAGACCTCGCCTTTGTTCTCCGTGTCTCTGAAGGCAGCTCTTGTCCGATCTGTGCCAGAGTCTGGTTCTCTGGTGATTTATTTGCCACTTATTCCCAGCAAGTGGACTATAAGCATGTTTTACATACTGGGAAATATGAATCATTGAGTTTCGCATTTCAGTTTCTTAAGAGTCGTGTGGTGCCAGTCCTATAAATCACTGCATGGAGAGGCTGGCCTCATCACTCACCTCATCAGCTCTCTGACACCCCAATGCCAGATTTAGAAGGCCGTTGCTCACAGAGTTGTCATCTGCTTGGGACCTGGCTGTCTGAGAGTCACTCCTGCCAGGGATGTCCTTGACTCCCCTGAGATGTGTTGGTGAGGGGGGATGTAGCACTCCTGGTCAGATCAATTGACCACTTAGGCCCAAAGATGGCCCCCTAAGGTCTGCAGTGAGGCTATTGTGCACATCACATAAGACCTTTCGCTGGGTCCACAGCTAGCTACAGTGTTTAGTGTTTTCCCTCCTGGGGTACAGGCTGCATGGTGAAATAATACCATGAATGCGACCCCTGTTGAACACATATCTTAGCTCATTAGCGGATTTTGAGCAATGCTGAGAGATCACCTTAGCCTCTTCAAAGACTGGATCACACAGCATCATCCCACTTGTGAGCCGAGCTGCCACGGCAGCTGTAAAACCCACACAAGGTGAGCTGCAGGCCTTCTGTTGTGGATTCAGGCTGAGCTGGAGTCCTTCCTTGGGAAATAAACCACATTGCGTAAGGAGGTAACGCTCGCTCGTTCGTGCATCTGTCCTTTCTTATAGAACTAGAAGAGTTATAGAATCCAGAATGAAACTGTAGACTACCCCCAAGTGGAAATTAGCCAGTGAGTATTTGTAAATATGAAGGCCTACTGTGCTTGGGGGGTCTGTAATGGCTTATTATCCCAGCACGTGTGGATAGACTATAGAACACAAGGGAGCAGGGCCAGAGTTCATCAGACACTTGGTTCACATAGCCTTTGCGATGACCTTTCCTTTGGGAACTTGGCCAGACAAATGAGAAAAGAGGTAGGGTGCCTCTCCTTGACCCATTCTCGGTTCTTCCAGCCTAAGATCTGCTAATGCTTCCAGGTAGCCACACCACTGCTATCGTTATTGTATGAAATAAAAAATTTCAAAGTATTCTATATCTAAAAAACTCTCCGTTTGTTCAGAAAAAAAAGTACATTTCAGAATATCAAACTCCATTTACTTTCCCCCAGATTCCTTATAGACATTGTCTAGCCTATCTTGGCTCACTTCTCTGGTCTACAGGTCTGTCATTCACAGCATCATGGGGGCTCAGTGACCACAGCCCACATTGCTTCTCCAGGACACTCATCACTGATCACACCTTTTCCACACGTCAGTAATCATGGGTGTGTTTTTCGCAGTATCAAAAAAGTAACCATATGTAAGCCTAACCTTGTTCCCAGGCCCTATGTACCTGTAAAGGCTTCCCATACCCCTGCAGAACTGAGCAACCATAGCCAGTGCACTAGAACTCATTAGCAGTGATAGGTTCTATACAAAAGCAAAGCCCTCCGTCTGCTGTCTCTCCCAGCTCCTTGAGATGCTTTGAGAACCTTTCCAGAGCAAGTACTGATCCTAGCAAGATTCTAATCTCAGCCAGTCTTGCAGTTTTACTCTGTTCTTTGTTGAGGAGCCTCTGGCCCTGTTGCCGCAGATGGGTCCTCTGGCTCCTCCAAGGGACAGTTAGTCGTTTTTCCTCTAGCATTCCCTGCTTCCCATCCATTCCTGGTGAGTGAGCGGGACACGGCTGTTTCCTCACTCGTGTGCCATCTGTGGCCGCTCCGCTACTCTGTTCATCTTAAGGATGGCATTTACCTAGTCCAGAGAACACGGTCCTACACGTGGTTATTTGGGGGAGGGGAGAAATGCAGGGGATTTTCTGGAATAGCTCTCAGCATCTAAAGGAGCAAACCTTCCCAAACGCATCACAGAACCAAATGCTGCCAGTCCCCAGCGATGTTTACCGCTGACCCTCTGTGAAACTGGCGACAGCTCTGAGGTCCCTCGTGATAAATGACTCTGGCCAGTGCTGTACTGTACTTAGGAGGGAACAATTTAGAAAGGAAGGGTAATTACTTTCTTCCTGTCCCTAAGCAGTACTTCTGTGTTCTGTTAAATGCCGTAGTGTGTAGTATGATGATAACTGTGGCTGCACATGCACAGAGCCTGAAGACAAGGGAGTGCTTTCTCTTTTGAGTTCTTCGTGCTTTGTTTCCAGAATATTTTAAAAGGCTGGGATAGGGGAAAATGACAATTAGGACCTGATTGGGGAGTTAAGGAAAGTAGCTGATAAAATATATATATATATATATATATATATATATATATATATATATATTAAATCTTACCAGGGAATAGTGTTATACAACTATTATCTCAGTACTTAGGAAGCCAAGTCAGGGAGATTGAAATTTTGAAGTCACCTAAACTTTATAAGCAAGACCTTGTCTCAGAAACAATGCATACCACAAAAACAAACCAGACTTCTAAATCACATCCCCACAAAAAACCTGTGAAAGGCACAGACTATAGAGCAGGAAAACAAACTTAGGGACAGAAATGGGCATAGAAGCAGGGGTGGCGGTACAGCCTTTTAATTCCAGCAACTGAGGATGCTGAGGCAGGAGAATGGTAAGTTAGAGACCAACCTGGGCTCCATACCAAGACAGCCAATAAAAGAAAGTTGACCCCTTCCCCTTTTTCCTCCTGTCCCTATGCCCTATCTGCTCCTCCAGCTCCTTCAGATCCTGGTCCTCCTGCTCCTCCTCTCTACCTCCTGCTGCTCCTTCTTTTCTATCTCATTGGACACAGAGAATAACAACTGTATTCATCTACAAGAGTACATTTGGTGGAAAACTGTAAAATTTCAAAAAGTGATAGTATTATAAATTGACCAAGACCTTCAGAAATATCAGGTAATAATCATTTCAACTCCAGACTGAAATTAAGGGCTGTTAGTGGATTCTCCCCCTTTCTGAGTTCATAGCCAACTGTCTCAACTCATACTACTTTATACCCTTTCCTGTGGCGGTTGGCCTCAAAAGCACGAGGCTCTTCCAGCTTCATTTCGCGGAAGACACCAGTGCCCAGCCATTCAGACAGTGAGCCACTGTGTGTAGAGCAGTAACCAATTTTGACTCTTGAGAGTTGTTTGGCCAACTTTTTAAAGATTTTTAGGGTGTCTACTTTATGAATTTCTGCTTTTTTCTAAGTACTGAGCTGCCTATCAGCTGTACCTATGTGGGTCAATTGACCCAAAGGGTGAACAAATACCTGGAAAACTAGATCACTATAGGCTGCCATATAACTGAGCAGAAATAACAGCAATCTCATTTCAATAATATCTTATCGCTTGACTATAGATTATTTTTTTTTCAAAATCTTCAGTTTGTTCTGCTTATGATGATATACTTTTTAGAGAATTCTACATGACACAGGAGTTGACTGTCATTTTTTCAAGCAGTTAAAAACCAGGGCTTTCCATTTGGGTTCAGCCTCTCCTCTGAATAGCAGGAGAAAAATAGTGCCTTCAGCATCCTCAGCTCATCTGTATTACTCAGCATTGCAGGAATTCAGCAGAGACCCTGCTGTCAACCATGAAACAGATACCCTTCTAGCTCCTTGAGTCAGCCCATCTGATTCCCTTTATAAATCGAAATTGTGACTGTTCCCCCTGCTCGATCTATATCAGCCCTCTTCCTTAACTTCTCCCTATGACTATGCAGAAAGCAAAATTATTCGTTTTTATTTTTACAGGTTCCTGCATGAGTTAGCCCAGATTCCCAATTTTGCTGAGCGTGCCCAGTGCATAATCTTCAGGGCTGTGTTTTCCGAAGGTGTCACTGCCTTACACAGAAAAGTAGAGATTGTCACACGAGCCTCTAAGGTACGTATAGGCCTGTTTTGAGAGGTGAAGAGGACCCAATGCTAGTGACTTAATGAATGTGGTGTTTGTCCTGCCCAAGATAGGAAAGGAAAGAACAAGGGAGATCTGAACTGAAGAAGAGAAGGAAGGGAAAAATAATGCTTTTTATAGATTCTTTTAAAAAAATTGTCAAAAAAAAATTGTCGGGCTGGAAAGATGGCTCAGTGGTTAAGAGCATTGCCTGCTCTTCCAAAGGTCCTGAGTTCAATTCCCGGCAACCACATGGTAACTCACAACCATCTGTAATGAGGTCTGGTGCCCTCTTCTGGCCTACATACAGACAGAATATTGTATACATAATAAATAAATATTTTTAAAAAATTGTCAATACCTCACCATGTACATACTGGCCACCCAAAACTAAAATCAAAACAGAATAGCTCGATCCCTGTTCAACATTCCAAATCACAAAGAGATTTTACTTGAAGCCCATGCAGGCTATCACCTGAAATCTGTCCATATCAGAAATGAAAGCATTCTGGAGACCTGAAATAACTAACAGCGATGGTGAGTGGTTGATACATCCATTCTGTGTCCAACACACTCTGTACTCGGTAAAGCTCACATCTGACCCCCAGACTTTCCACTCTCTTCCACCCATGTTCTTAAGATCATGGTGTGTTTCACAAATTCTGTAACACTTCACTGCTTGCCAGGAGGCATGGTTCCCCCCCCCCCCCCCCCCGCCCCATCAACATATAAGGGAGTTTTTTCAATGAAGAAAGAAAATCCAGTACCAACATATTATACACATATTAGTAACTGCTGGGAGACCAGGACAGAAGTCTACCTAGGTCTGAACTTGGTTTTTCCTTTTATGCTAAAATCAAAGTTCAAGCGGGGCTGACAAGATAGCTCAGTGGGTAAGGAGCCTGCCACCAAGGCTGATGATAGGAATTTGAGCTTCAGGATCTGTGTGGTGGAAGGCAAGAACCAGTTCCTGCAGGTTTTCCTCTAACCTACCAGTGCTTGCACACCCCCACCGACACCACCCTCCACACACAAGGAAATGTAATTTTAAAAAATAGAAGATAAAGCCAATTAATAGGGTAGAAAACTTTCCGTTTGAAAGTTTGCACTTGAAGCAAACATTAAGAGGGGAAAAAAAGTAAATGAGAGGAAGTTAAAGAAAATTCTTAGCAGCTTAACATTGAGGAAGTTAATAAATGTGAAAAAGTTCCCAGAGAAGGTACGTTTTGAAAAACCTTACGTAACCTCTGACCTTAAAGTGCATTATCAAAAGTAATCTCTGAGGACTTTGTCTATTCTTGCTATTGTGTCTACTCTAAATTTGACTATGTTCTTTGTATTTAGTCTGTACTTCCTAGAGAGATCCTGAAAAGATATCTGACCTTGTTCAACTTAAAATTATCAAAAATTAACTTCATTCTCTCTTATTAACCTATAAGTACTTTAACATACCAACCTTAAAACTGCCTAAAATGAAAAACAAACAGAAAGGTTCAGCCCTCGTTATTATAACTTTGTTCCATTACAGGAAATTGTGGCTGTTCGTACTCCTCCCACCTGGAAGATGCCACTCCGTGAAATGTATCTTATATTTGCCAGCAATTAATACAACTGGTTACAAGCCACTAAACAGGGCTTGGTCCATTTAAGAAATATTCACCATTGAGCAAACACGACTGTGTTTGGAGTCCAGACCATAATAACTGGTGTTTGCCTTTGCAGGGCTTGCTGCACATGAAGAGTGTGAAGGACATCTTAGCTCTCATCCTGGCTTTTGGAAATTATATGAATGGAGGAAATAGGACTCGAGGGCAAGCAGATGGATATGGTTTAGAAATTCTCCCCAAACTCAAAGACGTCAAAAGTCGGGTATTTATTTACTTTTCATACTGAATGTCTACATGTTATGGTTAATTTTCTTATGAACCTTTCATTTAAAACAAAGTATTATAGATTGATCCATTTATCTTATCTTTCTTCTAACAGTAATAATTTATATGAAAGCATGTACTTTTGTTTTCTGCTTCTGTGCTTTGTTTTGACTTGAACATTTGGCTTGTTGTTGTTGTTTTCATATATACATATATATGAAGTATATACATATATATATGACCTTATTTTCAATTATAAAATACATCATATGTTTTGGTTCTAACATACATGATTAGACATTGAAATACTACTGCAATACAAGATAAAACCGCATAGAGTATTAGTCATACTACAGAGGCTAAAATCTGTTTGAATTTAGTATTGCCCACTTGTAATTGACTCATTCTTGAGTGGCAGACACTGTTGAGCCTAGGATTTGAATTATTCTTTTGCCTGCAACAATTGGGGCTGGGGTCTCCTGTCAGCTCTCTGAGCCTGATTATCATTTGGCTCCACACCCCTGCAGAGCCACCTTTTTAGAAACAACCAGCCCAGATCTGGGCATCCCCATGGGGGCAGGGGGCGAGCAGGGAAGGGAAATACACAGGCAAATTAGAATTAGACCCCAGTGAACAGGACACAAAGGCTGCCTTGTGGGAGGGCCCACTCCCCCTGGCCTTCCAGGGTCATAAAGTGGCCTGGCTTTCCTTTTAAGCTGGCCCTGATTGTTTTTCACGACATTAAGGAGCACACATTTTCTGAGAGGTAGGAAGGGCAGGATGATTTGCTCTTCTAGTCCACAGCCCCCTTTGGCATTTCTCACCCCCTCCTGTCTTGGCAGCATGCCAGGAAATATGGGGTAATGATTTTTGATTGTTTGTTTGTTTGTATATTTGTCTTAGCCCTTACCTCAAAGGTCTCCTGGTTACCTGTTTTCTTTCAGTTTTCCTCGCTGATGGTATAGTGTCATTTCTTTTTATAACTGGTATATATATTAAAAAAAGACTGAAACTCAGGAGGAGGAGGGAAATTCTGGTCTTTGTGTAACAGAAATTGGACTCTGTCTCACAAATATATGCGCCCTGAGCTGGGTTTTCAGTGTTCACCCGGCCAGCGTGCAGGGTCTCCTGTGAACTCTTGTCATTTGAGTTTCTCTCTAAACCCTAGGACAACGGGATGAACCTAGTGGACTATGTCGTGAAGTATTATCTGCGGTACTATGATCAGGTAGGAAACAAGAAAATGGCACCGGGCACATGGTTTCAGGGAGGTTTTGCTCTAAAGACTCGTTAGCATTCGGGTACTGAATACTGGCGATATGGAGAGATGGCGTTCCTCTGTCCAGCTTTGTATCTGAGAGCTCCCCAAAAGAGGTACACTTGGGTTATAGAAAAGGAGGTGTTAGGAAGGCGAGAGGCTGCGGAGTCTGAGTCTGCAGGTTTCAGTAGATCCCTCATTGCCTCGTGACCAGATGCTGGGGCTTTCTGGACGCCAGATTCATTCAGGAGCCAGCTAGAGTGGAAACTGAATTCTGAGGTACTATTCAACATTGAGGAATTAAAAACATTGTAATATTCTCTTTTACAAAAAACGTTTGGTTATTTGTTCATATTTTATGTGTATTTGTGTTTGCCTGGGTGAGTTTATATGCGCCACGTGTGTGCAGGAGCCTGCAGGTGCCAGGTCCCCTGGAACTGGAATTCAAGCAGTTGGGAGCTGCCACACTAATGTTGGGAACCAAGCCTGGGCACTCTCCAGCCTAGTTTGTTTGGGGGACAAGGTCTTGCCAAGTAGCCTGGGCTGGCCTGAAACTCACTGTGTAGACCAGGCTGGACTTGAACTCACTCTGCCTGCCTCTGCCTCCTGAATGCTAGAATTAAAGCCCTGTGTATCACACCTACCATAATAACCAAAATTCTACCAATGATACATCTGAGAACAAGCTAGCGGCATTAAATTTGAGAATAGAATAAAACAAAAACATGTTCACATATATTTGAATTAGAATTAAGCACTTCTTTGAGAATATACCTGAACACAAATTTTCTTTATTCTTGCTTTTCGAACTAAGAACAGAGAGTCCTCAACCTTGAGGAAAAAGGAGGACTGTCTGCTGGTTCTTGAAATGGATACAAAAAGACAAAAATCTCAAAGTTGAGAGGACTGCCTTCCCAAGGGGTTGAGACCCACAGGTTGAGAACCACTGCTCCAGTACATTCCCGTCTTTATGTGTGGTTCCAATAACACTTTTAAACTCAAAACAGAAATGGATCCCTACTTCAAGTGAATCGAGACCCAAGACTCGGATGTTTACCTGATTGGAACTATATGTCTCAAGCCTTTTTTTTCCCCAAGGGATTTATTTATTTTTATTTTATGTGTATGAGCTTTGTCTGCCTGTATACATATACTACATGTATGCCTGGTGGAGGCCAGCAAATGCCATCAGCGTTGGATCTTCTGGATATAGGTTACAGGTTGTGAGCTGCTGTGTGCTGGCAAACGAATCCAGGTCCTTGGCAAGAGCAGCAAATGCTCTTAACCATGGGGCCACCCCTCAAGCCTTCCTATAAAATTTTGCTTCTCTATTATTATTATTATTCCTATCAAGAAATAACACATGTGGGGGTCTTAGGGAGAAAACTCCTCATACGTTATTTTGTGGGCTTATTTGAGGAAATGCAGACCCTTATAAAGAAATTACATAATTTTATATAAAGAAAGACCACACTATGGATCAGCAAGTATACCGAAAAAAGTTCAGCATTACCAATTTATAGTCACAGCCATGGTGAGATGTCCCAACACAACCATTAGGTCAATCGGTATAGAAATAAAAAGGCGTTGCCAGGGTAGGGGCCACTTAGAGCTCTTCGGCATGGTTCCTGGGAATGTAAAATGGCGCAGATGCTGTGTAAATCACTTTTGGGCAATCCTCAAGGAATTAAAAGCAAAACTAAAAGGTGGTCCAGCAGTCTTACAGGGGATACCTTTTCTTAATTCATACATCAGTGCTAAGTGAGCTAGCAAGACTTCAGTGTTCCTAAGTCAAAAGCTCTAAAAATATGCATAAGTTTTCTAGGAATTTATAGCTGAAGACTTACGTTACTGTTCTGCTTATGATAATAAGAGCGAAAAGACTTGAATTTTTTTGTAGGTATCCAATGATTAAGAATATAGTCAAATGAATCATGGTATAATTGTCAAATGGAATAGCATGCTGCTGTGGAAAATGTTTAGGACACAATGTAGTATCTCTGGAAAATATTCTGTCTGCTTTTAAATGATATACATGCATAGAAGTGGCCATATGCCTTTAATCCCAGCAAGGAGGCAAAGGCAGGTGATGCTCTTAGTTCAAGGAGAGTTTGTCTACTGAGTGAGTTCCAGAAGAGCCAGGACTATACAGGTAAACCCTATTTCAAAAAACAAAGAAAAATTATATATGTATGTGATTCAAAATTATACATACATACATATTTAAAATAGGTGGATATATGTAACACTAACCCAGAGAAAACCTGGAATGAGATATGTTTCCTTATTTGGGGATGTTAGGGTTATGATTAATTTTTAACGTTCACTTATGAAGCATAATTAATGTGCATCTGAAAAAGTGAAAACTATAATAAAACAATCATTCAGTGATGCTTCATGGTCCCCTTACATAAGTGTTTACTCACATCCTGGTCCATAAAAGAAATCTTTGACACTCCCACCTTGGACGCCTGGGTGAAGATTCTGTGAAGGTCTCCAACAATCTCTTTCGCTTCTTCTGTGGATTGTGTACAAATTGTCAATGATCTTGATGTTGCTCCTTGAGAGCCAGAATTCGCTGCTAACTTTTAGTGTCTACCAGGAAGGTGTCCAGTAAGCATTACCATGTTATCTAATATAAATATTATCAAAAGTGGAATAATTTGGCAGATGTAAAGAACTAGATGTGAGAAAACAGTTTCATTTCTCTGGAGTGAGGAAGATGTGTTGAGCTTCAAAAAAATTTAGCAGCAGAAGGCACATCTAAGCATACTCCAAGTTCTGACAGCAAGTACCCACAGGGCAGAATTACCCTGCAGAAACTTGGCAGGTGACATTTCTAACCCTAGATCCACAGGGGCAGATGCCTCTAGCCAGTCAGCCATTCATAGAGAGGCTGAAGTTAGTCCAGGATGCAATGGAATTGACTCTGTGGAAGAAACTGTGATCAGAATGATGGCAGTTATGGAGTGAGCCCACCCACATTTGTGGGGTGCAGTCCCAGCGCTCACTGAAGAACGCGCTGCACTCAAAGGGGAGTGTGGAGTTATGTGATCTTTGAAGCTCCTTGGGCAGCAGTGATGACTTCTGTGGGCAGTGAGGATGAGCAGTGACTTGAGGACAGGTGAGCCCTTTCGGTTCCCTGCTCCTTCTGCCTTGCGCTGGGTCCAAGTCTAGGTGTGTGGGGTCTGAAGAAAATCAGCCATCTCCCAGGGCTTTGACTGAACCTACTGACTGGACCTGACAGACTGATTCATCATCAGAGTTTTCTCTTTTTCTACCTAATGACAAAAATGGAAACCATGGTCAAGTTGGACACAAAGCTTACAAAATATTATACCAGATTCTTCTAGTGTGGGTTTTCGTGGGGCTTCGTAGGGCACGCATTGTGTCAGATTTGACATTCACAGTCTTCCATTTGTTTTTAAGGTAGAAAATAAGTATCGTAAAAAATTTGGATGGCTTAATTACTGATAAAATGAGGAGAGCCACCTTCCCCAAGCATCCAAATGAAAGACTTAGAACAGTGGTTCTCAGCCTTCCTAATGCTGTGACCCTTTAAGACTCTTAAATTATTTTCATTGCTGCTTCATAACTGTAATGTTACTCCTTTTATGAAGCATAATGTAAATATCTGTGTTTTCTGATGGTCTTAGGCAACCCCTGTGAAAGGGTCATTAGAAAAATGTCCAGTCCTGTGGAGTGGTCAGCTCTAAGCAGGACTTCTCTATCACGCTACATGCACAAGATTGGCGCAAGGTGAAGACAGCCAATATCCCAGTGTGGACAGTGTGTGTGTGGGGGGGGGGGAGTCCAAAAACTCCCACCCTTTGCTGACAAGACCCTGAAAACTGATGGCTGCTGTGAGAGAATCGTTTTTCTCCAAAGATGAAACCCCTGAGAGCCTACCCACGCTCTAGTAGGTGGTCCTACGTGTCTGTACATATAGACAGTACTAAATGGACTCAGTACTCCTAAGAGAGAACGTGAAAAGTTGGCAAAGGAAAGTGGTTTTAGAGAAAGGGGGGAAATGTGAAGACTATACGAATGGGGAGTAGATTTGTCCAAAACTTACCTTATACACGTATGAAGTTATTTTAAAATATTTATTATTAAAATAGGTGTCTTATGGTAAACTTACAGACTTCACAAAGCAGTATTTCCAGAACTGTCTGTAGTGGTGCATTTACTGATATATCAGATACTATATAATATTTCAATAATAGGAAAGAGTCGCCGCCAATGATATGCTTATATTCTAGTGACACATCAGACATACAATCTAATGCTAAAAAGTTTAAATTAATAGCAATAAGTGTCATGGTAATAGGATCAAACACTCTCGAAAAGCAGAGAGAAGCACCCAGGTTTGGTGAGGTCCTGAAAATCTTTGAGGAAGTGATGTTTGTGTTACGCCTTGAAAGACGAGTATGAACAAGGAGCTATGAGGAGATTCTAGGGATATAAAAAAGAACAGCTTTGTAGACGAGGGCCTAGAGGCAAGAGACTGCCTTGCTCTCTTGTTTCAGGAAAGTCTGGGCGTAGGTCTTGACTTTGGGGAAAGTAGGTCTAAGGCTGGTGCTGTAGACAGAGGGCAGACCATAAAATGCCTCGTAAAGCACTTTTGGCATTTGGAATTCGTCCTAATGGCACCAGGAAAGATGGAATGCAAAGGCAAGCTGGCAGAGGAGTGTGTGCACAGAGAGAAACAATCGAAGACTAAGATACGCACAATAGCAGCTTACATTAAACAACTCAGGAGAAAGCAGCCTAGGCTGGAGAAGGTATTTAAGGCTCCGCTTATGTTTCAGTATGCCTGGAGTATCTGTCCCTTAAGATAATTTACAGCTCAGATCATCCATCAGATAGAGCTATGGACCTTGTCAAAACCATTCTCAACCATGCCTGCCATGAATACCTCCTAAGATAAACTGACAGCATTTACATAGGCTTTATGCACACATAAAAAAATCAGATGGTACACACACATCAGAGTTTAAGCTGCAGAAAGGGTGAGTAAAAGAAGGCGGTAGCATCGCCCGCCCCCCCAGTGTCTTCTTGGCCAATCCACACCCACTGGCACACCCCAAGATGGGTTATCTGATTGCTAGCATGTGTAACTCAAACAGGGACTTTCAATGTAAGTACTTTCATAGGCTTCCCCTGTCTTTTTCCATGGGAATAGAGAAAAGCAGATGAAAATCTACCTGGCAGTTTCCTCTTCCATCCATAAGGCATATAGAAAAGCTGCCCATGCCAGCATGAGAGCTAATCTCAACGCCAGGAAGACCGAAACCATACTGTGAAACACTCAAAGTCTCTGAAGTACAGAGTCCTAGCTTAACAAAGCAGTGCCCTGATTGCTATAGAACCACTCGACTGAGCTTGTCGTTTTCTGACTGATGCTTTGGAATGCCAACAGAGGGGACAAGCGGGAAGTAGTTTGTTTTGTTTTTTTCTATTTTTTTCAATGTTTGTTTTATATGTAACTAGTGTTTTGTCTGCATTTACGTCTGTGCGAGGTTGCCAGAGCCCGTGGAACTGGAGTTATAGAAAGTTTGAACAGCCATTGCAATTGCTGGGGATTGAACCTGGGGGCTCTGGAAGAACAGCCAGTGCTCCTAACTGCTGAGCCATCACTCCAGCCCTGTGCTTTTCTTTGCCCTGTCTTTTAGGAAGCTGGAACAGACAAGAGTGTTTTCCCACTACCTGAACCACAAGATTTCTTTCTGGCCTCCCAAGTCAAGTTTGAAGACCTCGTAAAAGATTTGAGAAAACTGAAGCGACAACTGGAAGGTAATGGGATAATTGCAAGGGTGGCTTATTAGAGCAGTTTCATTTGATGGCTGGCTCCTGGAGTGGGTTGGTATGGAGCTCTCCCATGGGCCCCTACCGCCGCCATCATGGGACATTCCTTCTCGGGGCAGTATTTGCCGGCAGTAAATCCACCGATTCCAGTAATTTAGTTGTTGATCATTTGGCATCTCAGTGTCTTGCCATATCAGTGTCTGCTCCTTTATACTCACTTGCTTGTGTTTGGAGGAGTTTGCATGCAGGTGTATGTGGAGACCAGACACCTCGGGTATCAGCTCTCAAACATAGCCCATCTTGTCGATTTAGTTTTTGGTTTTGTCTTGGAGACAGGATCTTGTTGGTTTCGTTTTTGATTTTGTTTTTGAGACAGGATCTTGCTGGTTTAGTTTTTGGTTTTGTCTTTGAGACAGGATCTCTCTCTCTGACCTGAAACTCGCCAAGTAGACTATGCTGGTTTGCCAACAAGTCTCAGGGGTCTTCCTACCCTCCTCCTCCTGAGCTAAGATTGCAAGGGTGCACCACCATACCCTCTTTTTAAAAACAGGTTCGGGGTTCAAACTTGGGTCCTCATACTTACAAGGCAAACACTTTCCTATTGAGCTATCTCCCCTGCTCCATATCTGCATTCTTCTAATATTCAATAGTTATAGTGTTAATAATAATGGCTGCTTATTGCAAGCATGCCATATTCTTATAATAACTATGAGAAGCAGAAATCTTGTGGTTCAGGTAGTAGAAAAACACTCATACATGCACATATGCTATAACTCTATATTTTGTCTTGATACTACTCTATTGATAGTAAAAAAAAACCACAGGAAATGTTCTTTTTCAGCTAAATATATAATTAATGAACGAATCCCAAAGCCTGAAAGCCACATTTTTGACTTTTTAGAAGGTAAAAGTATGTGTCTCTTGGGCAGGAATTTTCCTTTGGCATCTTTCGAGTTCTGTGTTTTCACTGTGGAGACATCTCTTTGTCCAAGAATATAAATACTAGCCACGGCACCGCTATGACTCCAATGGAAGTGTTCTATGGAAAATTTAGGGAGTGTATTAATATGGAAATGGTACCCCTGGGTACCAGAAGAAGAGCTGGAGGAAATGAAGAGCTTCAACCGGGAATAATTTTATGCTCAAACATAAAATAAACATTTTTTAAATGTTTATTGTGAAAGAGTATTCCAAAACCCCAGTCTTCAGTTTGAGACCGCCCTGGACATAGAAGCAAAGTGGGAAAGAGGTGCTCACAGTGGCAGGGGGAATCATTTATATTTATTTTGGGCATAAAACTTATTCAAGTAAGTTTACTGGTTACAAGTTAATGTTTTTAATGTTGTAAATCATTTTTAAAGGAGCATGTGGGTTCTATCTCACACCCAGTCCCACTGTTGATGTGGCTGGGAGAATGAGTCCAACCAAATGAATCCTTTGAACAGGAATCTTATATGTGAACTTGGGGTTATTTTTTCTGTTTTAGGGAACTGACAGTTTTCTTTTTATCTCTGATACCAGCTGAATATGTACCGTAATGAAACAGAATAATAAACCATTGCATGGAGTATTCTCTACACTTTCCAGTAGTTAGAGTTAGGAGACAGGGATCTCTCAGGATGGCAGGGAGTGTCCATAGTGGGGAATGGGGTTACACGATGTGGGCTGTCCCTTCGTGCCCAGTCTTAGTCCTGTCCCCTCTGCCCCGTGTAAAGCCCTTGGCCTGACCCTTCATAGATGTTTCAGAAGAAACTTGATCTCTGTTTGATCTTTCCCTCTCCTGCCAGGGGCTGTCTCCCTCATGGCTGTCCTTGTCCACATGAGCTTGATGATGAATAGCAAAGGGATGGGAGGAGAGTGGAGGGGCAGGGTCCCCAAGGCATCTCACTTTGTCTAGGGATGCTGCTGAGTGTCACTCTTGCCTCCCCTTCTCCACTGACCATTTTCTCAGTCACTCCAGGGACCCACGTGAACTCCTGTAGCTGGCGGACTAGCTTTAGAAAAGACTGAGCAGCACCCGAGTTATTTTCCTTAAGCTGGGCTTCTCTCAGAGACATGAAGTCCCACAAACACAGAGGAGAGAACACCACCCCCCACCCCACACACATTGAATATTTAAACAAAAATGCCCTGCTAATCTTTAGAGATGCCAGTGTTTTTAACACATGAAAGGTACCCAGTAAATATTTAAAGAAATACAGAGCCTGGGTTCTCTAATGAATTTCTTTTTCTTCTAAATACCATCTGGTGAGATGGCCGGGATCACAGCGGTCCGTTTCATCTCCAGTTCCCATTCAGTTTCACCTCCCTTTCCATAAGGCCTTGGTGTGAACCCAGATTGAATGTTTAATTGAGGCGGACATAATTTTCACACATACAGCAAAGATTTGATGAGGCTTTGAGGTTTATTGTAGCCATTAAAATGTCGTAGCTGCTGGCAAAATCCCAGAAAATGTCTAAAGCTAAACCAGATGTGATTAGCAAGTTTCAAGTGCTGTCAGGCCCCAGGTCTCTGGACAGGCATGACAGCACCCTAGCAAAAGAAATCTTTTTGAGTAGCACTAACCACACCTTGCCCGAAAAGATGTGAATGGTGATGAAAAGATACAACTGGTGGGCATACAAATATCACTGATGTGAGTCTCAGGGGTAGTCGGTCAAAATCTTCCTGAAAGACAAGACTCATTTTTGTTCAAGTAAACACAGAGAGACTGATGATAGCATGCACTGAAATTTATTGTATGATTGTTATTCTTAGAGTCTTTACATGTAGCATATCTTTTACCCCTTGCAATGATCCTATGGGATGAGTTTTCCTCTTGACTTCTCACAAGATAAGGAAACTGATGTTCTTGGTGTTGAAGAAACTGTCTGTTGGCTCAAGGGTGATGGTCTAGCGATGCTATGAAACTAGATATGATGCTGGGACACAGCTTCCGTTCCATGACACATCCTGCTTGTGGCTTAGACAGCTAGTGTTAGACCTTCATGTGCCAGTGGCATATTCACTGGCTGACAAGCCCTAGTTCCTTCTGTTGCAGGTGGGTAGGGCAGTCCGGGGGCTTTCTCTGAGACAGAGACACACCCCTTGCTTCTCCCCACCCCACCCCCCCCCCAGCATGTGTCCTTGACTTCACAGTGAGCTTTCTGGCTTCCACCTGATACCTTTACTTATTTTCTCCATGTTGTGGTGTAGTTAAGGATTTCAAAATTAGTTTCTTTATTGTGTGCATTTCCCACCTCTGGACTCCCACATGGAGGGAGAAGCTGTATTCAAAACTCCTTCCTCCACGACCACAGTAGCTGACTCTTTAATTCTGTAACTTGTTTAGATTTGGATCATGTAAGATGGCAAAGACTTTTTCTTATATATGAACTGTAGACACCCAAAATGTGTGGGTTAGACTACTGTGAATGAGAATGTTTTGCCCTGAATTTGGTAATTTTCACTACAAATGCTCAGTGAAGTGGAAAAAGAAAAGAACTCAGCCTGTGGGGTCAGGTGTGTACTTTTTACTGGTGAAAGTGAAATCTTATGAAGTAGTGTGACTATAAATTTATTTGGGGAGAAGGTGGATACCTCAATGGTTATGTATATGCTTAACATCAAAAGGCCCTGGGCTCACTCCTCAACATACACACACACACACACACACACACACACACACACACACACACACACACGAGAGAGAGAGAAGAAATTAACTAAAATACTCAATTTCAGCTGGGTTGGTGGCTCATGCTTGTAATGTTAGCACCTGGGAGACTAAGGCAGGAAAGTTGCCTGGACTTGCAGGCCAGCCACAGAATCAGACATTGTCAAGAAAACAAATCAAGACCCACTTCATTTTCTTTCTGGGGAGTCATAACATATAGCACCTGCGTCGTGGGAAACAATGAATAAACAAACGGCTCTTTTTATTTTGACAATTAGAGATGTGTCCTTTTTACTGTTAAAACTGTAACCTGCAATATTGGCCCCTACTGGTCAAGGACCAGCTGGCTGTGATGGGATTATCTCGTTTGCAGAGTACTTAACCTTCCCTTGTGAAGACAGAGCCAAGTCTTGATGCTGATGAACATACACTTAGTTGACTCTACAGTGGTTTTGATTTCCTTGGTGCTCTGACATTATGAGAATCGTTGAGAAAGAAAAAGCATCCACCGTCTTTCTTACTGGTAAACCTTGTCCACAGGCCAGGACTCTCAGGGTGTAATAGTAAAGCCCCTCCTCAGCAATGTTCCAAGCCTGATCCCCACAGCCTGTGCTTATGTTACCTTACATGGGAAAGGGGCACTTTGCAGAGGCTGACATAGGAAGATTATTTGGGCCTGGCTGAGTGGAACTAATCTAATCACATGAATCTTTAAAATGAATATTTAAAAGCCGAAAACTTGCCTTGGCTGTGATCAGAGGGAGCGATAACTACAGAGGAATGATCAGAGGGATGCAATGTTGCCGCCTTTGACAATGGAGGAAGTGGGCAGTGGGCCAAGGAATGTAGGCAGCCTGTAGGACTGGAAAAAGCCAGGAGCCCACCCTCTCCAAAGCTTGCAGAAGGGAATAGAGCCCTCTCAATACTTTGCTTTTAGCTTAGCTAAGAGTAAGGCATACGTCCATCTTCTACCAGGCAGAACTCTTAAGATGTATTTTGTTGTCTCAAGTCACTTAATATTGTGCTAATTTGTTATAATGGCAACAGGAAACAAGTGCAAATACCATGGATCCATCTCTCTCTCTGATTGTACTTGATACATCCATCCCTACACACACAGCCTAACTGAAGCCATAATTGTAGAATTCCCCAAGTAGAAGCATCAATAATATTGGGTTAGGTATAAATTATTGCTGTATAAAAAAGTCTGTAGGACAGATAAATACTGAAAAATTTACATTTTTGGCGTGTGTGTGTGTGTGTGTGTGTGCATGTGTGCATGCAAGGCCACACACGTGAAGGCCAGAGGACAACTTGAAAGAGTTGGGTCTT